AAGAGAACTGCAAACTCAATTCAAATGGAAAATGAAGATAATAAAGAAAAAAAAAGCGCTTTTAAGCTAGGCTTAAGCAGCAAACCTAAATTTTCTTTTTTTTTGAAAATTTAAAATTTATGCTTAAATTGAGCCCAAGATTATGGAATAAATCTAAAAGGAAAATGGGAAATCAATTTCTTTTTTTTTTTTTATAGAATTTGAGGAAGCCTAAATTGGTTCAACGATTACCAATAATACCTTCTAAAAGTCTTTTTAATAAAGCTTACAGTTGGTCGTGTTGTTGGCGGTTGCGGTTTTGGAGTAGTTGTTACGGGCAATGCTTCTGAAATAGCCTAACTAATTATCCTAGAAAGTAATGATAAACTCAAATATTTCATCATTATCAATATAAACAATTTGAAAATCAGTCGTAAATACTTGATTTTAGTCAAATTGACTTGAGACCTTTGACCTTTGACTTTATTGTACCTTGACTTTATTGTACCAAAAATGACTTATTTGCTTACTTATTACAACACAAGAAACGCTTGCTACATTAATTTTTGATTCAAATGCACGCCATCGTGAATTACTTCCACATATCAATTCCACTGTTGCTTGACCAGTAATATCCGATATAAATGGTAAAGCTGTTTGTTCATTAAAATATATCCTTGCAATAGTTCCTTCCTGTTTATCAAAATTTTCAAATTTTCTTCTAAGAAATAAATATTAGAAAGCAAAACTCCATAAATACATAAATGTTACATTTAAAAATTTTGATACAAGATAAATAATTAAATTAATTGAAATTTAAAAACGAAAAAAGAGAAACTTTTAAAATATTTAAACCTTGACATCACCACAGACAACATTTACTGCACGACAACCATCAGGTTGTTTGGAATATTCAAGCTTCAGTGCACCGTTAATTTCATTTGGTTGCAACTTCATTATTTGCTTAGTTTTAAGGTTTTCGCATGTAGCACAAGGGGGTGGTACTGAAATTTTTGATTATAATTAATTGAAATACAAATAAGATTTGCACATTTCATTCGAGTACAAGTGAAATTGCACATTTCATTCGAGTACAAGTGAAATTTGCACATTTCATTCGAGTACAAGTGAAATTTGCACATTTCATTCGAGTACAAGTGAAATTTGCACATTTCACTTCACGTTTACACGTATTCATATCACCCTATTTATACAAATAACTATATATTCTCTAATTTTTGCTTGTTAAATTAGATTAAGGATAATTCCAGTTAGATTAATGGTAATGATAATAAGGATAATTAAAGGTAACTTTGTTTTTTCACCTATTTCTGTAGTTGTTAGCACAGGTACTGTCACAATTGTCGTAGGTGCAGGTGTTGTAGTTACTAGTTTTGTAGTTGCTGGTGTTGTAATTACCGTTGGAATAATATCTAAAATTATTGAAATTTTTATTAAAACTCCGAAACTATTTTTGTATTCACTTCAAAAATTTGCAAATTATTTCAAAGTATTTAATAAATTTTAGATTATTCAGTTTTCAAAATATTCAATTCAATTCGATGATGTATATAAATACATTACATCTGTACTAAGAAAAAAGATTACTATCAATTATAAACACTTTAAATAACACTATAAATAAAAGCAAGAGAACCTCGTGCAAGACAGGTGACAGTTTCAATGTTTACACGTGAACCGTCAGCTCTAAAACGTAGATTATCACTGCATACCAGTGAAATCACTGCAGCACCATTTGCATTTGAAACAACTGGTACATCCTTCATCTCGTTGAAATAAATTATACTTTCCGAAAATTCCTAATAAATTATTAGTTATTAATTAAATTAATAATTTATATAATTTTTATTTAATAATTTATATTTAATTTAATTTACATTTAATTCGCATGAATTCAATTTATATACTTAATTTAATTTATATTTAATTTATATAAATAACTTATATTTAATTTAATGATTTATATTCCAAATAATTTATGTTTAATTAGTAATTTAATTAAATTGTTTAATTAATACATATATCAAAATGTATGTGTGTATATAATATTGTACTTTGAATAAAGTGTAATTACGAAATTACAAGTAAATTTTAAGGGTTTCAGTATTGTTGCAATGAAATGAAAAGTTTTAGCATGCTACTAAAAGTTTCATAAAGTAAGATTATTATATTGATTATTTCATTTATCATTTTTTCTTTTTATTTTTGCAAATCGAAAGCATATTATTGAAACAAAAAGTACACTCTTAAGATTAAAAGAGCTCTCTCGAGAATTGTGGGATAAAATGAGGGAATGATTCATTTGGTTTGCAGAAATATATGTTCCGATTTTGTGATACTAATAATAATTAAAACAATTATATTTATACAGTTAATAGTTAAAGATGGTTAAAGAAATTGATTATGGTCTAAAAATTTTATGCAAAGTGATATAATCTATATAATGATATAATTCACTTACATCATATGCACTGCAAACAATTTTAGCTACCCGGCAACCAAATTCGTTTTGCATATACTCAATGATAAGTTTTCCATCACCTTCAGTTAATGAGGGATTTTTTACTCTTGCAGTTTTGATATTTCCGCATGTACTACATGGTTCTGTAAATTTTATTAATATTAAATTTTGATTAGTCAAAGTTATATGATGCAATCACATAATTTGAATATAGGACAAAAATTTTTATTCTAAAAGATTTGGACTTTTATTTTGTATTTTGATTAAAATTTAAAATATCAAGAATATAAGATGAAAAATATACTCGGTGTTGTTACTGGTGGTGATGGTGTTGTTGGTATCGGATGATCTATAAACAATTGCAAAATTATATTCTTAAATGGTTTCGGAAATTAATTAAACAATACCTGAAGCACTGATTTGATTTAAAGTTAAAAAATGTGAAATGTCCGAAATGATTAAATGTTTTTCAAATTCCACTACTATTTATAAATTAGTATGTAATTGTTCCAAATGATAATTATGAGTGATTCATTCATTTCATTTTAATGAATAAAAATTAAACAAATTTTAATATCATTTATTGATTTGACTTGCAATTACTTAGTGTTGTGAGATTTGTTAGAAAATAATCGTTAATTATATTTGAAATTTATTAAATTCCATTTCAAAAGAATTCTGTTAATGAATTATTCGTTTTTGTTATGTATAATTTAGAACATATTTGGCTCAAATGATTTAATTAATGTTAAATATAGTGACGATAATAATTTAAACTATATTAAATATTGCTACAAAACTAAAAAAAGAAAAAACCTCTAAGTAGACATGTTACATTCCAAATATTTGATTTTGTTTTAGGTGCTTTCCAACGTATATTTTCGTCACAAGTTAAGGTAAGTTGAATCGTTCCAATTGGTGACATTGCTAGTGAACTAGTTTTAATCCCATTTGCATAGATTATTGCAGTTTGCTTGATCTAAACAATATTAATATTTGTATTGTATTAACAATGATAACATTCTAACTGATATAATATTAAATGTTTTTTCGCACAGCATGTAAGTATAACTGTATTTACAATTTATTATAGAATATCAAATGTTAAAGTGTTAAAATTCAAATTTGAATAGTTAAAATAGAAATATCCTTGATGGATCTTTTGATGACCCTGTGAACTGTTGTAAAAAGCTCATGATGATAACGCATAAATTTCATCTAACTTTTCGTCAAACAAAAGACAACAGTTAATCGGTAGCTTAGACCCAGTGATAACAACTGATTATGTAATTAGTATCTTCTTGAGTTTTTTTAAAAATTCTATCATTGTAATTTTCATATCACATCCATATTTTGATACCTCAATGGGAATCCGGAATGTAAAATATTGATTGGAAAATTAAACAGTTTCTTCACGTGTTGTTAAATCGTATTCATTGAGATAATTTATTGCAGCAGTTTTATTTTATTATAATTTTCATCATAATATATCACAACTTGAAACTTATTATAATTAATTTTACAACAAGTAATTAGCATAAAATTGATCAAAATTTTGATATAATTAGCATAGAAGACATACCAATGGACCAGCATCACAAATGAGATTAGCAGTACGACAGCCAAGTGGATCTGCTCCATAAATGATAGCCATTTGACCATTACTTTCGCCATGATCCAAATACGCAACTCCTATTGCTGGTATATTATCGCAGGCAGCGCATATTTCGACTAAAATTTCATTTTAAATTAAGCATTTATTAAATTTTGGATGTTATAAAGCAAAGGAAGAAGTAGTTAGAGTTAGAATAACATGGGCCAAATTTGTTAACTCATAAAATGTAAATAGAAATTTGAGAATATAATTCATGAAATTTTATTTTTCTTACCCAAATAATTTATGGTAAATAAAAATTGAAAACATAAAATAATTTCAAATTTATGATACAATTTTATCACAAATTTCAGATTGTTACACATAATTTGCATAATTTATTTATTACATGAACATTGATTTAATTACTCCATGCTATCTTTCTTTACTTATAATTTTAATTGAAAATTTACAAATTATCATTTATGACATACCTTATTTGTTATCATTATCATGCATTAAATATTTCTAAAAAAAAAAAAAGAAAGAGAAGAAAAAACGAATTCATGCAGTTATTTCAATCAAATCACTATTAGAAAATGAAATATTAAAGCATTTTAAAGCCTCAGTTTACGCATATTACCAACTTTGTCGTTTAACTTGTGTTTTGTTGATTTGAAGGATGAATCGTTCATACAGATTCTTGGGTACATATTGATGACCAAATTGTGAATCTGAATGAAAAAGTAAAAGAAATGTCCTATCATTTTTGTATATCATTTGTTTGTTTTTTTTTCTCTCTCAAAAAAATTGCATTGATTTGATTTGATTTTTGATAATTTTGTTAACAGTAATAATCACTTCATGGTTTCTTAGTAGACCGTTCATTAATTAACAGGTAAATACACATTGATTCCAAATTTAATCGCTTTATTACAATATTATCAATTAATTAATTGCAGTAAATTTTTAAAGGTTAAAATTTACAATGAGCTGTTTCTTTTTTTCGTTTTTGTTTTAATTTTATCATTTTTTTGTATTTCTACTTTAGGTGGATAATTTAAATAGTTGTCTTTCCTTATTATTTGACAAAATATTTTTGTGAAAAAATTAAACATTGATCGTTGATACCTTCTTGATGATCAAAAATCAGTCATCTGTTTTCTCAATCCTCTCTTAACATTTACATATTTTAATTGTTTTGGTTATCTTTGAGCAACCAGTTGAATAAATACGGTATTCACGTAAAAAATAGAATAGAGAGGAAAACAGTGCCACAATCATCGTGCATATTATATTGCATGCATGGTATACATGCATTTTACTAACTTGTTGTTGTTGTTGATGGTACTATAGGATAAGTTTCAACACAACTCGTAGTAGCGACAATAATAGGCTTGGCAGTAACAGCTGCAGTTCTGGTTGTAGATGTAGTAGCTTTGGTAGTCGTAGTGGTAGGTGCAGCAAGTGTAGGTGTAGATTTGGCAGCTGTAGTAGTAGGCACGGCAAGTGTGGGTAAAGGTTTGGGAGCCGCAGTGGTAAGTGTAGCAAGTGTAGTGCAGCAAGTAAATTTGGCAGCCGCTGTGGTAGATGCAGCAAGTGCAGTGTGGGTTTGACAGCCGCTGTGGTAGATGCAGAAGTGCAGTGTGGGTTTGACAGCCGCTGTGGTAGATGCAGCAAGTGTAAGTGTAGGTTTGGCAGTTGCAGTAGTAGGTACGGGAGGTGTGGGTGTAGGTTTGGGAGCCGCAATGGTAGGTGCAGCAAATGTAGGTGTAGATTTGGCAGCCGCTGTGGTAGATGCAACAAGTGTAAGTGTAGGTTTGGCAGCCGTAGTGATAGCTGTGGTACAAGAGTCAGGTTTAGAAGCGCTGGTAGTTCTGGTAACAAGTGTAGTAGCCGTGGTGGTAAGTATATCAATAGCCGTGACTCCGATACCAGGTATAGCAGCATCCGGAGTAATCATGACAACTCCGGTGATCCCAGTACTACTGGATTTTGTAATTGTAGTTGTGACAGCTGCGGCACTTCTTGTAGACAGTGCAACAGCGATCGTAGTGGTAGGCATGACAATCTTAGTAATAGTGGGTAGTACAGTAGCTGTAGTAACTAGGACTGTTTTCATTGTACTCATGGTACTTCCTGTTGTTTTAGCCACTGTTGTTGATTCTGATGATAGAGAAGTTCTAACAAGTTTATCAGAAGCTAATAATTTAGTATTTCGATACCATTCTTTTTTCATTATACATCTAAATAGTAAAAAAGATACAACTTACCGTATACTGCTGATTCCTGAAAATAAATTTTCATTAAAATTTCAATTTTTAACAAACTACCGCGTAAATATTTGAATCAGTAACCAAAAATGCATTTCATTGAAAGTAAAAATACCTTCGGCTTATTTACTTCATCTTAGTATTTCGATACCTTTCTTTTTTTCATTACTCCAAACATTTCCCAATCATCGCATCGATTTATGGGAAATGAAAGATTTTAACAATTTCCGATAATTATCCGTCAAATTACTGATTACAGATTATATCGATTGATAAAATTTGAAAAGGACAACTTACATTGGGACAGTGAAGCGAGAAATTTGCCACAGTTCCACAAAATCTTAATTCCATATCAATAGAACTGAAAGTATATTATCACTTCTAGTTTATCTGTTGATAATACCTATCAGTTAAAAGAATTCATTTGTTTTATTTCCATTATCATTTTTTCGTCTTAGTTTTTCTCCCACTAAGTATTTATCATTATAAACTGTTTAAAATGAAAAAATAAAAGTGAAATTTACTTGCAAAAGTATTTCGTTTTTGTATTGCAATTTGGTGGATTTTTTCGACAAAGCCTAAAATTATTGTAATTTTAAATTATTTAAGATTTAAGAAAAAACTATTATTTTGATGATAAAATGAAACTGAAGAATTGTACTCTTTTTAAAATAATAAATTATAAGATTTATCATGAAAAAAAAAAAATAATAGTTTTTTTTTCTTTCCAATAACTAATTTAGGTTAATGAAATAAAATTTCCAATTGACAAGATCCGGAAAGATGACAATTTCTTCCATTTTTTTTCCCTAGTATCATCACTCATTTCATTACTTTCAAATATATTCCAACAATGCTTCATTTGCCATAATCATTTGATAAATTTCATATCAGTGCTTATCATTTTGTTTACCTTCTCCGTAACTGAGAATATATTCCAGAATGACCGTTTGGCACTGCATCATGCCATGATGACCAACTACTCCAAATCCCTATATTACTACACTTAACAACATCTTCTCCATGGATTAAAATATACAAATGTATCGTTATTAGAACCGTTAACCAATTATGCATCTGTGCTAAAAATTATTTATCATTAAAATAAGTAAAATTTTTTGGAAGTCATTTTGATGTCTCATTATAAATATTTTAGAAAAAAGAAAAAAGATTTTAAGCCAAAATTTCATGGAAATTAAGTCATCTAACATTCTCCAATATAGTTATTTCAGAAAAAAAAATTAAAATGTGAAATATCAAATCTGATTTTAAACTTGCTATTTCAAAAAGAAAATAACATTACAGTGATAGAATTGATCTGAAACATTGTTAACTTTAATGTAATTAAGAAGTGCTAAAATTTTCTTTAAATCAAATACTAAATTTTTTTCTACACCAAAATTTGCATGAAATCAAAATTTATCCAAAAATTATCAATTTTTTAAAAATTTACTAAATTAAGTAAACCTTATTGTCAAATTTTTTTATTTGGTCAATTTTAATACAAAAATGATATTTATAATTAATGCCTGTAATGCCATAAATATAAACGTAAAACTTGTATAGCAATATATTTTTAAGGGAATAAAAGCAGCTTTTTAACAGTATTCGAGAACGGAAAACCTAATTACTATAAAATCTATAAAAATGTCTGCTTTTCAGATTGAAAAAGGTTGAATAAGACATATTTAACCAAGTAATGCCTTTTTAAATAGATATTAAGCGACTGCTTTTAGTAGCACTAAAGAACTTTTATTAAATTAGAATTAAAAGTCTAAGTCCTTTTTTTTCTTTGAAAAATGAAATTTAGAGCACAACACCATTATTTTTTTCTTGTTCTTTGATGATTGAATTTAAATTTTTATCAGAAATTTCAATCAGTTGTTTAGGAGTTTGTGAAATATTACAGATATTGAATATTATTACATTTTAAATCAATTAGAAACTGTTAAAAAATGAGTGGAATATTTGGTACAAAAATGTTAGCTTATAAAAAAAAATGGCATTAATGGACATCAGTTGGCACAAATTATCAAAGATGACCTTCATTGGTCACTTTTAAAACATTTGATTACATCCGGCTATTAGTACCAAATAGTTATATGCTTGAAAATTTTCTTTTTTCCTATTGATAAAAAGCAAAAGATAAAAAGCAAAGGCTTTTGCCTTCAATTGCTTACTTTACTCAGTCTTCAAGAAATAAATTATATTTGTTGAATTTTGATGTTAATTTTATCAGTTGTTATAACCTTTCCTCTATAGCTGAGAAGATTATATTATCACTTATCATAGCATATTGAAATGATCAGTTGCAAGAGTTAATTAGATGAAAAACCAAAGTTCATTAAATGAATATGGGAAATTTTAGTTCGTTAATGAAAGGAAAAAAAAAAGACGAAAAATATCATTAAAGAGAGAAAAAAAAATTAAGACTGGATTGATTTCTTTGTAGAAAATCGTATGCAAAACTGCCAATAAAATTTTATTCAAATGAGGACATAAATCAGGAAAACATTATTTAATCTGATAGAAAAGAACTAGTTTATTCAAGTTGACAATAACAAC